TATTTCGGAGTTAAGTCAGGTATTGGCTTGTATGGTCTCCAAGTCTTCTCTTTATGATCGTATCAGGGAACGTCAGTATGATGATCCCCACTTGCTCGTTCTTCAGGACAGGGTTCAGTGAGGTGATGCTAGGGATGTGACTATTGGTGATAACAGCGTGTTGAGGATGCAGGGCCGGATATGTGTGCCTAATGTAGATGCGCTCCGAGAGTTGATTCTTGAGGAGTCCCACAACTCGTGGTATTCCATCCATCCGGGTGCTGCGAAGATGTACCAAGATTTGAGACAACACTATTGGTAGAGGCAGATGAAGAAGGATATAGTTAGGTTTGTGGCTCGGTGTCTCAACTGTCAGTAGGTTAAGTATGAACATCAGAGAGCGGGTGGCTTACTTCAGAGGTTAGAGATCCCAGAGTGGAAGTGGGAGCGGATCACCATGGACTTCGTAGTTGGGCTCCCACGGACTTCGTGGAAGTTCAATGCTATTTGGGTTATTGTGGATTGGCTGACAAGTCCACGCACTTCATTCCAGTTGGTACTACTTACTCTTCAGAGCGGTTGGCTGAGATTTACATCTGAGAGATTGTTCGCCTGTATGGTGTCCCAGTTTCTATCATTTCAAATAGGAGTACTCAGTTTACATCGCAGTTTTGGAGGGCCATGCAGCGAGAGTTGGGTACTCAGGTTGAGTTGGGCACGGCCTTTCACCCTCAGACGGACGGACAGTCCGAGCGCACTATCCAGATATTGGAGGACATGTTACATGATTATGTCATTGACTTTGGGGGTTCATGGGACTAGTTTCTGCCGCTTGCGGAGTTTGCATATAACAACAGTTATCAGTCGAGAATTCAGATGGATCCGTACGAGGCTTTATATGGAAAGAGGTGTAGATCTCCAGTAGGATGGTTTGAGTCAGGTGAGGCTAGGCTCTTGGGTACAGACTTGGTCCAGGATGTATTAGACAAGGTGAAATTAATTCAGGAGCGGCTTCGCACGGCGCAGTCTAGGCAGAAGAGCTATGCGGACAGGAAGGTCCGTGATGTGTCTTTTATGGTTGGAGAGAAGGTTTTGCTAAAGGTATCACCCATAAAGGGTGTTATGAGGTTTGGGAAGAGGGGCAAGTTAAGCCCCCGGTTCATTGGGCCTTTTGAGGTGCTTCGGAGGATAGGGGAGGTGGCTTATATGCTTGCCATGCCACCCAGCTTGTCGAGTGTGCACTCAGTGTTTCATGTTTCCATGCTCCGGAAGTATATTGGAGATCCGTACCATATTTTGGACTTCAGCACAGTTCAGTTGGAGGGTGATATGGCTTATGATGTGGAGCCGGTGGCCATTTTGGATCGGCAGGTTCGAAAGTTGAGGTCAAAGGACATAACTTCAGTGAAGGTGCAGTGGAGAGATCAGCCTGTGGAAGAGATCACCTGGGAGACCGAGCGAGAGATGTGGAGTAGATATCCACACCTATTTGAGACTCTAGGTATGTTTCTAGACCCGTTCGAGGATGTAAAGATCCGACCGGTCATTTCGAGAGTTATAGCCTCGTTTCCCCCATTTCTACTTCATTTGTGTTCTTCAGTTATATTATGATATGTCGGGGTTAGTTGGTTCGGGTCCGGAGTGATTTTAGAGTGAAATGAGACACTTAGTCTCTTTATTAGAAGCTTAAATTGGAAAAGTCAATCGGCTATTTGCTTATGTTTAAATGATTTCAGATTTGAATTTTTATAGTTCCGTTAGCTCCGTTAGGTGATTTTGGACTTAGGAGTGTATTCGAAATGTGATTTGGAGTTCCGTAGTGGAATTAAGCTTGAATTGGCGAAAGTTAGAAATTTGGCAATTTTGGTCGGCAGTGGAAAATTTGATATCGGGGTTGAAATGGATTTCCAGAAGTTAGAGTAGGTTCGTAGTATCATTTGTGACGTGTGTGTAAAATTTGAGGTCATTCGGAGGGTAATTTGGTATTTTGATGTTATTTTGAGTGATTTGAAGGTTCAACTAAGTTCGTATGAGGTTATACGACTTTTTGGCATGTTTGATTGAGGTCTCGAGGGCCTTGAATGTCTTTCGGGTGGTTAACGGATCATGTTTGAAGTTTGGAGAATTGCTGAAGTTGACATGTTGCTGGTGTAATCGGACCTGCGGGGGTATCGCCGCAGGTGCGACGCCGCAGGTGCGGTGGGATTAACGTAGGTACGGAAGTGTGTTGGATTGGGGAAAACCGTAGGTGCGAGTAGGTGTGCGCATCTGCAAGCCCGTAGAAGCGGAAGTGAGGAGGTCTAGCAGTGGCCGCAGGTGCGAGGTCTTTTCCGCACGTGCGAGGTCGGAGAAGTGAATAAGGAGCGCAGGTGAAGAGATGGGGATTTAAGTGAATTTCCACAGATGCGGAGATTTTTGTGCAAAAGCGGTGCGTATTTTGAGCCGCAGGTGCGAAAAGCCTGGGCAGAACCTATAAATAGAAGACTTCGTGAATTTTTGCTCATTTCCACCATTTTCAAGTCGAACCTTGGAGCTTTTGGAGTGATTTTTGAAGGGGATTCAAGGGTTTTCACATAGGTAAGTTGCTTGAGCTCTAATACTCCTAGCTATGGTGTTTTCCCGTTGTTTTCTCATCTAATTAGTGGGGTTTCGAAGTGAAAATTTGGGGTTAGGGCTTGAGAATTGGAGAGTGAACTTTGGGGTTTTGGAGGGGCAAATGAGGTCGGATTTGGATAAATTTGGTATGGTTAGACTCGTGAGTGAATGGGCTTTAGGATTTTGTGACTTTTTTCAGATTTCGGGACGTGGGCCCGAGGGGCCGGGTTTGAGTCGATTTCGAGTTTTGGCTCTAATTTAGTAGTTTTCTTGTGGAATTGATCCCTTTATCCTTTATTGATTGTGTTGTATTATTTGTGGCTAGATTCGGGACGTTTGGAGGCCGATTTGAGAGGCAAAGGCATCGCAGAGTAGGATTTTGCTCGGATTGAGGTAAGTAACATTCTTAAATCTGGTTTTGAGGGTATGAAACCTCGAGAATTGGTTTAATGTGATATTTGGAGGTGACGCACATGCTAAGTGATGGGCGTGCGAGCATGCACCGTGAGAGATTGTGGCTTGGTCCGTCCCGTGAGACTGTAAAGTTGAATAGCCATTGTTATTACTTGTTTTTCCTTGTCTTTGAACAATTGACCGCCTTTCATGTTAGAAACCATGCTTAGGCCATATGATATCACTATTGGGACCCACAACGGTCGTATACTTGTTGAATTGACTGCTAATTGTTGTCTTGTACGCAGTCACAGTCTTATTGTGTGTTATATCTCCGTTTCCTCTCATTTCTTGTTGATACTTGTTGTATTCCTTATCTGGGCTGGTTATTATGATATTCTGTGAGCCCGAGGGGCTGGAGAGGTTAGTGACTGAGATAGGGCCTGAGTGCCGGGTTGAGATCTATGTGAGATATATTGGATCGGGCTGCACGTTGCAACAATATTGAATCAGGTTGCACGCCGCAATAAGCCTTCGGGCCATATATCGGATCGGGCTGCACGTCGCAGCAGTACTTGGATTGGGCTGTACGCCGCAATAATATATGGATCGGGTGGCACGCCGCAACAGTATTGGGTCGGGCTGCACGCCACAACAATATATAACGCTTGGACTGTAAGAGCCCCTTCAGAGTCTGTACACCCCCAGTGAGCGTAGATAAATTTGATTGTGAGTATTGAGGCTGAGAGCTTAGTGATTGAGTTGTTGAGATAGATGAGTGACAGTCGCCATGTGAGGTTGTACTTGTTCTTATTTTGCTGTTGCACTTCATTGCTAATTATTGTTGTTGTGAAATTTTCTGGAGGGCTTATATTGTTGTACTTGAGCTCGAAATATTTTTATTTAAAACACCGAATTGAAAGCATGCCTACTTTTCTTGCTGAAATTACTGAAGTGAACTGCATATGTGTAGCTCGTCACTGCTTCTCAGCTCCTTATTTAATTTTGTTACTTATTAAGTTCGAAGTACTCACGTTACTCCCTGCACCTTGTGTGCAGATTCAGGTGTGACTGGACGTGGAGGTCATTGAGTTCGTGCGCAGTTGATCTTTCGGAGATTTACGAGGTAGCTGCCGGCGTTCGCAGACCTTGTACTCCCTCCTTATTATCTTTCTTCCTCTATATTGATATCTAGACGCAAACTATTGTAGACACTGTCTTTTAGATTGAGAGTCTAGTTGCTCATGACTTAGTGACACCCCGATGTCGGGCTAACTTTCTGCACTTATGTTTTATTTGGGTTTTACCCCGTATTTATGAGAAATTTCAGTTATTTTAAATGTCTTAATTCATTTCTGTTAAATTTTGAAAGTGTTTTGAGGAAAGGTCGGCTTGCCTAGTACCACGATAGATGCCATCACGACGGGTTAGGTTTTGGGGTCGTGATAGTATACTTGTCCTATTCTAATTTGCCTACTAATAACAAATATATTCTTTCTACTCAACTAATTATATTCCCTCGCATGTTAGTCACGTGAGGGAAGCTTCTAATATTAACATTATCAAATGGTCTATAATTAATATATCATGAGTTAATTTGCTTGATCCAAAGGTTCTGGATCCTCCACGTGTTCCAAACAATCCACTGAATATAACCTATGTAACATAGGTTATATCGAAGATAGCCACTTTGGTCTGAGAACAGAACATATGAGATTTTTTCTTCTAGGTCTTCTTCTTATTCTTCTTCATTTCCTCTTCTCTATCTGTAGGCAAAGCTCCATGAAAATCATAATTAAGATGGGGTTTCTTCTTCCCAACACCACCCCTCAAGTTGGAGGGGAACCTTGTGACCCCTAACTTGCCCAAACTCTATCGATGAGAAACCCTATAAAGAGGCTTTGTGAAGAGGTCTGCGAGCTGAGCTTTATAAGGGACAAAATAAAGAGTGATTAACCCCGAAAGAAACTGTTGGCGCACAAAATGACAGTCAATTTTGACATGTTTTGTGCGTTAATGAAAAACGAGGTTACAGGCGATATGGTTGCTGCTTTGCTATCAGAGAGAAGAGGAATTGGTAGATTGACTGGTGCAGAGAGATCCTCAAGTACTCGTACTAACCACGTAAGCTCTGCAGTTACCCTTTTCATAGATCTGTATTTTGCTTCTGCAAAAGATAAAGAAATTGATACATGCTTATTTGATTTCCAAGAAATAGGAGCTCCTACTAGTGTTATGAAGAAACCACTGACGGACCTCCTTGAATCCTTGCAAGAGGCCAATCAGCGTCGTAAAATACTAGCAAGGAAAATGATGGTTCAGCTGAAAGAAGAATACCTTGGCCTGGATCAGAGCAGAGGTATTTGAGTACTCGTAAAGCAGCAGAGATGTGAGAAACACATGGTTTCTGCATGTATTGACTGAGGGTGAGTACAACAAAAGAAAGATCTGGTCGAGTATTAGTTTTTCCGACCAAGTGACGAAATATAGTGGGATTTTGCAGAGGTTGGCCATCATCAGCTTGAAGCTCGGAGGAAGAATCCAAAGGAGAGCTGACTCGAGGCAAATGAGACACATCAAACTCCTTCAACATGTCTAAGGTAAATTTCCTTTGACTCGCAATAAATCCTGCCTTTTCTCTCAAAATTTCCATGCCTAGAAAATAATATATATTTCCCAAATTCTTGACTTTGAACTCAGTATTCAGAAAATACTAGATGCTTTGAATTTCGTCTAAGTCATCTCTTGTGAGTAGTACGTCATCAACATAGACAACTAGGATAGAAATAAGACTTCATGTGCGTTTAAAAAATAGAGAGTAGTCATTCAGTGATGAAGAGTATCCCTTAAAACTTAGAGCCCTGCAAGCCTATCATACCATTGCCTAGAAGCTTGTTTTAAACCATATAATGATTTCCTCAAAAAACAGGCATGTTTGGGGCTAGGAAGGTCTAATCCTGCTGGGAACCTCATGTACACCTCTTCTTGTAGATCCCTATGCAAAAATACATTGTTGGCATCTAATTGAGAAACATTCCAGTCTTTCTTGGTTGCAATAGTAAGTAGACACCTTATGGTTGTCATCTTTACCACTGGTGAGAAAGTCTCGCTATAATCTATCCCTTCTCTTTGGATATCCCCCCTGACCACTAACCTTGCCTTCAACCTTTCAATTCTTCCATCTGACAAGTGCTTTACCTTGTACACCCATTTACAAGGCAAAGATCTTTTTCCTTTAGGTAATTCAACTGCATCCCATGTGTGGTTATCCTCTAGAGCTTTAATCTCTGCATTCATATCTTCTACCCACCCTGGATGTTGACAAGCCTGGCTAAAGGTATAAGGTTCTGTTAGGGTAGAAAGGGATTGCATTACATGTTGATTATTAGGTGAGAGAGATGAAAAACAATATTCCCTAGGCTTGCAAGGTTGAGCAAAACAAGTTGTGGCTACATCTGTGAACATGATACTACAACACACATAGTCTTTCAAGTAGATTGGTTTATTAGAAACCCTGCCTGACCTTCTGTCACGACCCCAAATTCCCTCTGTAGGATGTCGTGATGGCACCTAGTCTCTAAGACAAGGTAAGCCTATCAATGCTGAATAACATAATAGAAAATTGAAATAAAAGAAACATCAATTCAAATAATTACAACTCCCAAAACCCGGTAGAAATAAGTCACAAGCTTCTAAGAATTTATTCTAGATGTCTCTATACATCAAAGTCTAAAGAAAATAAGGAAAAATAATATAATAAAGATAGAAGGGGACTCTGAGGTCTGCTGACGCTGGCAGATATGCCTTGAAGTCTCCGCGTACGGTTATTTCACTAATGCCCGATCTGATAGGAAGTACCTGAATCTGGACAAAATAATGTGCATAAGTGTAATATAAGTACACCACAGCGGTACCCAATAAGTGCCAAGCCTAACCTCGGTAGAGTAGTGACGAGGTCAGGTCAGGCCCTACTGGAATAATAAAAGATAGAGAGAAAAGTTTAACAATAT